GGCGTGCAGGAGGCAGCTATGGATGATGTTTCTCTCTCATCGATGTTTCTATCTCTCTATCCCGCTCCCTCTCTCAAAAAAAAAAATCAACAAAAACATATTTTTAGAAAATTTAAAGAGAGATCAAATAAAAAATACTTGAAATTTCATTGACTGTCATACACATACAAAAAAGTAGAGGAAGTTGGTAATAAGTTAATAAAAAAATTTTAAGTGTTCCTTCCTACCTATATAAACTTAAAAATATTTACACAAGGAATATTTATATGTTGAGTATTTATAAATGCATTTTTGTCTTGATTTTTGTTCTATCAGAGGAACCCACCAATGAACAGAAGAACTACCATGATACCTATGACACTATTTCCACCAAAAATAGACAATTCTACTCCTTTGATCACTACCCCAGCAGTCCCTCTTACCACCAACAGACGGGGAGATTCATGATCCTTGGAGAACTTCCTGCCAAATGCAGCTTCTTCCTTCAGGCATTCATACCAGCTGAAGATCAAAGATATCAATTACCTCCCTGCTCCTCATATTACAATGTACCCCCTTTCAATATCCTGAATAAAATGACAATGCTTCATTGGAAATTTTTGTATCACTATATTATTTTCAAGGTGAATGTCATTTTCTATTTAGTGCATTTTAAAGAGGGATCAGGAAGATAAGCAAAGTAATCTAGGAAATAGGTTTTTTTCCCCTTTGGGAAGTCATGTGCCTCACTAAGAATCAGAGGTTCTACAACAAAGGAAGAAAGGAAAACAATACTGGGGAGAGGCACGCAGCCTGCAGCCTCTGCCAAACTTGGGGAGGTGGTGAGTGACAGGATTCTGGCCCCAGCCTGCATTCAGGTGCTGCAAAGACGACTGGGATATGTCCTGAAGGAGAAGTGGGTGTCCTGACCCTTTGAGTTAGGGCAGAAATTGATGGAGCCCAAGGGAAATGCTCTAAAATTCCCTTTGTTTTATTTTGGAGGTAAAGTGACAAGTTTCTTCCTAACCTGTCAATTCCTATGTACAAAGCAAAACGGAATGAGACAGATTTTACAGGTGTTACATCTCTACAAATATGTGGGCCATGTTTCAGAATAGAGGACCTTCTAAGAACAATGATCACAATCTACTACCCCGTTCTGTTCCTCTGTGGTGGGAAAGTCACTACATGTCATTTATGCTGGACTTTGGCCTCATTTGTAACGTTTCTCAAAACTCTCTTATAACTGACTGCAACAGGACCACACCTAGAAGTAAAAGGGAACAGAGTTTGCGTAGGAGAGAACGTGCATGTTTTTATTAGAGGCCAAAGTCTCAGGCTTGGAAAGGATCTTAAAGGCCATTGAATCAAGTCACCTGGGAGCTTGTTGGAGAAGCAGACATGCCGGGAGCCGGTCCATGCTTGCTGTTTCAAGGGACCTGCCATATGGCATACGGTTCTTAATATGTTTGCTTACCTTCTTGGCACTATGTGTTTTAACCAAGGTCTCTGAGAAAGGTTGTTTCCCCAGGTAGGGATTGTCCCCTGAAGTTAGGGAGGGAATAAAATCCCTTAACTAGTGCCAGGTGGGTAATTAATCACTTTAACTACAAACAATCATGCTTAAGCTACATAATCTTTACTCCCTGGAATGAAGATAAGAAACGCCCTAACCTTTGTAATAGAGATTGATAGGATTGAATCAACTGGTATAAATACAGATGTAATAAGACAGCTAGAGACAGAACTTAGAATACGGAACCAGGAGAGACAGAACCTAGGCACAGAACCTACACAGAACTTAGAACACAGAACTTAGAATACAGAGCTTAGAACACAGAACTAGAGACAGAAGAACTTCGCTGGAGAGAACATGGCAAAAGATCCTGGACTGAACCTGACTACAGAAATGGGCAAGAGAACCTGACTAGAACCTGGCAACTGAACCTGGCTGGAGAACCTAGCGAGGGAACTTGGCTACAGAACCTGGCTGGAGAACCTAGCAAGACAACATGGACACAGAACCTGGCTGGAGATCCACAGCAGAACCTCTCTGGAGATCCAGACCAGAACTTGGCTGGAGATCCTGGCTGGAGATCCTGGCTAGGCTGCTGATAAACTGAACTCCGTCTCCGTGTCATTCCTTCTTCGCCGACTCCGTCTACACCTTTGGGGACCCCTGGACCCGCTGGGGTTGGACCCCGGCACAGACAGCTCAGGCTGCACTCTGGACCTGCAGCTCAACAAGACCCCAGTGCTCCTCCACAACATGCAGACCTCTGCCCGACGTATAGACATCTGCCTGCGTACCTCTGGCAACAAGAACTCCCTCTGTGCGAGAGAGCCCTTTCCGCACTCCTCCTTTGGGTACCTTTGCTCTTGGAAAGGTGTTCTCTGTATGGAATTAACATTTGATCCCAGTTGAATTCTTTGGGGTCACATTGAATAAATCTAGTTTGTTTTTTCAATGGCAGCCTTCAAATAAATAAACATAATATTCCTAGTCCCAAGTTTCTCCAGGCAAAAATTTTCCATTTGTCTAATCATTCTTTGTGACATAGTTTGATTTCTCCCAGTCTTCTGCAAATCTTCTCTAGTTTTTATATATAGGTTTTTAGAACTGCACATAATACCACAGATGTGATCTGGAAAATTACAAAAATGAGATGATTGCCTCCTACATTCCAGATCCTATGTCTATTAATATGATCTAGGGCTGTGGTCAGCAAACTGCGGCTCTTGAGCCACATGCGGCTCTTTGGCCCTTTGAGTGTGGCTCTTCCTAAGCCTTAGGAGTTAATAACCCTAATTAAGTTAATAACAATGTACCTATCTATATAGTTTAAGTTTAAAAAATTTGGCTCTCAAAAGAAATTTCAATCGTTGTACTGTTGATATTTGGCTCTGTTGACTAATGAGTTTGCCGACCACTGAATAACTATCTTCCTGGGTAACCACCAAGAACATGTTTGATATCTTCATACCTGTCCCCTTGGACTGAAGAACTGGATCTTATATTTACCTCTGTTATCACTTACCTGATTGGACTCAGCTCGGCATTCTCTCACACAGAGATATTTTTTTTATCTAGATTCTATCATTCAATACATTTGAGTTCAGTAGTCCAATATATGGTCTTAACTTTCTCTGTTCATTCATCTATCCAGTCAACAAATAATTTTCATGTATCTCTTTGGTTCCAGGCAAACAGACAAGCACAGAGAGCCTGGGCCTCTGTCCTCCTGAGCTTCTCACTGCTTTCAAGCAGTAATTTGCTACACCTAGGAGGATGCTGTGAAAAGTAATAAAATATATCTGGCCCGGCTGATGTGACTCAGAGGTTGAGTGTCAACCTATGAACCAAGAGGTCACAGTTCGATTCCAGTCAAGGCACATGCCCAGGTTGTGGGTTCAATCCCCCGTAGGAGGCATGCAGGAGGCAGCTAATCCATGATTCTCTCTCATCATTGATGTTTCTATCTCTCCCTCCCTCTCCCTTCCTTTCTGAAATATATATACCACATATGAATGTATAGCAGATACCTTGGGGGCTAGGAATTACATTTTTACTTTTTAAAATATATTTTTATTGATTTCAGAGAAAAAGGGAGAGGAAGGGATAGAAATATCAATGATGAGAGAGAATCATTGATCAGCTGCCTCCTGCACGCCCCACACTGGGGATTAAGCCCACAACCCAGGCATGTGCCCTGAATGGGAATTGAACCGTGATCTCCTGGTTCATAGGTCAACGCTCAATCACTGAGCTACGCAGGCTGGGCGGAATTACATTTTTATGACCAATGCACTGAGAACAATAGGGTACTTTAGTAAAACAAATATTTACTAGTACATGACTAACAAAGGACACAGTTTTATTCATCCCCACAGCTGGGACCTGGAGACAAATGTGATCCAGAACTTCCCAGCCCTGGCTCCACTTTGGCATCATCTGGGGACCTTTTAAAAATATACCAAAGCCTCATCCAAGTCCAACTAAATTTAAATTTCTGGTTGTGGAAGGGATCAGAGCACCAGCATTTTCAAAATGCCTGGAATCGTCCTGATGTGCAGCCAGGTCTGAGAATACTAGTAGCGGTTCTACAGGAATTCTCAGAAGCACAGCTCTGTGCCCTTCTGATGCCGCAGAGGCTGGCCAGCGAGCAGACCCGATCAGCACAGCTGGGTGAGAGTTTCTCCAGCTGTGGGGGTGGTGGGGGTGGGACAGCCACCATAGGAGGCCCTGAGAGTGAGTTATAGCCTGCGGCAGCTGGCGGTGTGTTGGCGCGCTAGCCCGAGTGTGCAGGGAAGCCGGCCAGAGCAGGGCTGCTGGGCGCGGTTTCATCAGCCTCTTCAGCTGGCAATCAAAGTGCTTCTCACACACGTTTGTGCGAATCGCAGGGTTGCTCTCTAGGAAGCTCTGTTGCAGGAAGTGTACGCTTTCTGGTACATTTCTATGTGCCCACCAAGCTTTGTACGTTCCTGGCATTTGCTGGAAGGAACGCAGGAAATGAGAAGCAAGTGTTTACCTCCTGAAATGGAAGAATTTTTACAATGAACGCCATCCAGATGTTAAGCCCCGAATAATGAAATACTGTCTGAGACAAAAGCCAACACAAAGGAAGATGTGACGTGAGGTAGCTTAGGTTCATTTCATTAGAATTTGCCATCTGCCTAATATTCTTCTCTGACTGTTGTAAATTCTTAATCAGTTGTTTGAAAAAAAATAAATAAAACTGACACAACATTTCAAAGGTTACTTGTCTACAGTATTTGGTGCTGTTTGTCTGAGGGGCTCTCTGGTGGTTAGGAACTCACGAATGTGTATGCTGAAAGGCTCTGGCCTCCTACCTCCTGAAGGGCCTTCCCCCTCCAGCCTCTGCATAATTATGTGGGAGGAGGGGGGGTTGTGGTTGGCTGCAAAGCCAGGAGTAAGCAATTCTCTCAAAAACAAATCCTGAAAACAGACTGTCCCTCCCTATCTGACATCATGTTTTATAAGTCCTCCTGTCTCAAAAACACCCAAAACCACAGAATTCTTCACCGGGGGCGTTTTGTGGGGTTAAGAATATGCCTTTGTTGCTCCCTAATGGAGTCTCCTGCTGGTCTCAGAAGCCTCCAGTGGCAGCAGGTAAGTCCCGGGGGCCCCGAAGGGAAATGCCTCCCCTCTGAATTATTGATTTATTCGGGGTTTAGAAAACCTGCAGGCATCAGATGGAGCTGGCGGATGCGGCAATGTGAGATGTTACTGGAGTAGGGAGAATGGTTTGTTTGTAGCCTTGTAAGGCCACAAGACCCACTGGGGTAGAAGACAATTCTAGAATTTTTATTTTTTGAAATTTCATACTTTTAGACTTATTTTTAATGAGTTTACATATATACATTTTACATATGCTGTAGAACATGCTGAAAACAGATCGAAAATTAAATGATAAGTAAATAATATATAAAGGGTACATGCTCACATTTTTTTATTGATGATATGCATGGAAACACACACACACACACACACACACACACACACACACACACACACACACGGAGCCCTTGCTGCAGAAGTCTGAGAGGCATGCGATCCTATTGACGAGCCCTCAGGGTTTCCAGTTCTTTCTCCCCGAGATCTCTCTGAGCAGTTTTGCTGAAGGGAAACGGCAATGACAGAATCAGCAAAGCCCGTGGCTGGGGAAGATGCCTCCTTACGTTCCTTTGTTGTTTTGAACGTAAAGGGCCTCTAAGGAGGGTGTAGTTGAACAGAAGAGCTGAAGTAAGAACAAGACAACCCCATGCCTGCAAGATCTGTTTTAGATCTTTTGTAGATCAGGACCCACTGGATAAAGGGGTATTTTACTCACATAGGTTACTGTGTCTTTTCTAAACTCACTCAGCCAAGCTTTGAAAAAATATTAACCCCGCAGGTAATTTCAACATTTACTGGTTACTTATTTAGACATTTACTGGTTATTAAAGCCTATTTGGTAGCATGATGAAGATCAAATGAGATCGTGTACTGCCTTGTCTGTAGTGAGGGCTTGGTAAAGATTAGTCTCATTATTATGTTTTATTATTAGTATTAAATATTATTGTCTGACATAGCTCCCACTTGGCCTAACTTCCTCGAGGTGGTTCTCTAGATACTGGAGGTTATTTGGGAGCCTGGGAAATTTATCGGCTTTACCATCTCTCCAGGCAGGCCTGGTCTTACTTCCCATGGTCTCCAGGGGGGCTCAATTCTCCTCTCCTATGCAGCGTTCTTACTGGGCAGGTCCCTGGGAATGCGCCATACTGGCCAGGTTGCTTGTCCTTCAGAAAAGGCCGGGGTAACTATTAGGGCTGAGAAGCCTGCATTATAAAAGGTGATATCTTCCTTCTTTGTGTCCCTGCTACCTTTCACACTGTCAATAAATATTTATTGAATTTAATTGAAGATAAAGAGAGGCAGTAATTTAAGTTTAAAAATTAAAAAAAAAAGAAACTTCCTAAAGGTAGAATATGAGACAATACCACAGGCAGGGCTGGAGACCAAACCTTTGGGGTTTGCTATTCTTTTGACAATACTACAGAGTTTCAGCTTAATCTGTCCACATGGAGTCTGTCTAGCTGTCCTCCTTCCTCAATGCAGAAGGCTGCGTGGTAGGAGGGGAAAGGCCCTGCATTTGGTGGCAGTGGTGTGGGCAGGGGTGTGACGGAGGAAGACCCTAGGCCTCATGGGAAAATGAAAGTAGACAGAGTCTTGTCCTTGGCAGGAAGTCAGCTCCCAGGTGCAGAAGTGTCCTGAAACCTGGAACTGTGTCATGTGCTATGTGCAGAACTAAGGGGCCTGAAGGTCAGCTCTTGGGAGCAAAGGGCTGCCTGTGTCTTAGTCAGCTTGGGCTCCGGTAACAAAATGCCATGGACTGGGTGGCTGTTTCTGGAAAAGCACTCTGTAAATAATAAAATGCTCGCACGTGACCTTTATCCTGTCTCACCCCAAAGGGCCAAGAAGAAACGGGCCTCAGGATCTGGGTCACTCAGAATCGATTGGAGGCAGACAGACATTCGACCCCTGACTCTAGTCTATTAAATAGGCATAAAACACCCACCCGATGCCCTTACTGCAGGGATTAAGTGAAATAATGTGCGTAAAGCACTCTATGCAGGGCCTGGGCTATAGAAAGTTCTCAATAGAGGGTTTAGGGGTGGTGGGGAGGCAGGAAATAGTGCAGGGAAGGGAAAAAATTCCCCTCTGCCTATCGTATGTTTTCAGCTGGGGCCCTGTAAACCAGCCTGGCAAAAGGCAGACCACCAAGAAAAACTAACAGAAGTTCACTCACGTGTGCACCTACGCAGGGGCACACACAGTGACGAGCAACCACGGTAGAATTTGAGCTCATACAGAAAGGGGTTTGGGGCTCCTAGGCCAGGGAGGTGAGTTATGGGGCGGTGTCAGGGGGAGAATGGTAGCAGGTTGTTTAGTGAGGCTTAGCATGCCGACCAAAGTCAGCGCCTTCTGAGTTAGTAGGATTGTTGGGAGTCCTTCTCTCCCTGGCAGGGAGAGGGACATGCTCTTCTCAAACAGAAATGTCCTTTGCACAAGGTGAACGCACACCCTGGTTTCAGAATTCTCCCTGCATCCGCTGGTTCTCCAGGGTCATAGCTCAAAATAATTCCGATACCAACGGGCCATGTTCTGGGGTGGCATATCCTCGTAGGCTTCCACAGTCACCACATATCCACACCAGAGCTCTCAGGTGGTTCCTGCTCCCAAGGAGTGACCTGCTGGGCCTCCGCCAGGAAATAAGCCCAGCGGGGGCGTCCTCCGTGTTCTTTGCCCTCAGAAAGGAGGCTCACTGGGCCCGGGGGTGAGGGGGGTGGGAAGGGGCGGGCCTGCTACAGCTCCTGGAGGAGGCTGCGGAGTCAGCCACCACACTGCTGAGTCAGGATCCCTGGAAAACACCTCACGGCCTCTGTGGACGACAAATTAAAGGTGTTCACCGCCTAGCAGTGGGCCGGGGTCCAGCAGGTCAGGAAGCAGCCAGGATGGTGAGGATGTCAAGTTAACCAGAGCCTGATTTCCTAGGACCCACGTGGCTGTTAGTTATTTCCGCTTCAGGCTTTTTTTTTTTTGCTTCTGAACATTTGACCTTTGGACCTAGACAGCTGTGCAAGGAAGGCACTGTTCTTGTCAAAGTCACCCCGAGTTGCATCCAGTGTATGGATCCTCTCAGCAGATATCTTATGAGTTAACCGCTGTGAGTCAGTAAGGACGAACACAGTAGGGGCAGAAGTCTGCTCCTTATATTGAATCTCTTCAAATAGACTGCATTGCTTGACAGCCAGGCCTTTGTTCTACTTTTCTCTGTATCTATTTGGTGCTCAGCTCTGAGCATGGTGGTAACAATAAAATCACACGGAGGGCTGTGTTCTATGCACCATTTTATTTATTTAACTTGATGTATATTTTTTAATTTATTGATTTTAGAGGGAGAGAGAAACATCGATTTGTTGTTCCACTGATCTACACATTCATTGGTTACTTGTTTTTTTATTTTTTTAAAAGTATATTTTATTGATTTTTTACAGAGAGGAAGGGAGAGGGATAGAGAGTTAGAAACATCGATGAGAGAGAAACATTGATCAGCTGCCTCCTGCACACCCCCTACTGGGAATGTGCCCAAAACCAAGGTACATGCCCTTAACCAGAATCGAACCCGGGGCCCTTGAGTCCGCAGGCCAACGCTCTAGCCACTGAGCCAAACCGGTTAGGGCCATTGGTTACTTCTTGTACATGCCCTGACCAGGGAGCGAACCTGCAACTTTGGCATATCAGGACAACGCTCTAACCAACTGAGCTACCCAGCTAGGGCCCAGACCCCATTTTAAATGCTTCATATATACCACCTCATTCAATTTCATAACCAGCCGTAAAATAGCTTTCGATGTTATCCCCACTTTCTAAATGGGGAAAATGGGGCACAAAAAGGTTAAATAATTTGCCCAGGTCACACAGCCAGCAAGTATCAAGGCCGGGATTTCAAACCCTGCCTGCTCTCGTGACCTCTGTGCACGCTGTTTCGGTGGTACATAGTTGGTGTCAAATGAATACAGACTGAATGACCAGGGCATCGTGTGTGTGTGTGTGTGTGTGTGTGTGTGTGTGTGTGTGTGTGTGTGTGCATACTCGGCTGTTCGTATGAATTAAGAAGTGTCCCCTGTGCTTTCAGCGCCTCGTCATGGCCCCGTGTGTGAGTCTGCTGGTCTTTCTCCACGGAGTCCTTACACTTCAGATGGTGAGTGACGCTGCGCCTTCCCACTTCCTGCCCTGGCGGGGCTCCTAGGTTGACCCAGAGGAAGAGAGTCATGCGCTGCAGGTCTACAGGGCGTCCAGATTTCTGGTATTCAGTGGTCGGCAAACTCATTAGTCAACAGAGCCAAATATCAACAGTACAACAATTGAAATTCCTTTTGAGAGCCACATTTTTTAAACTTAAACTATATAGGTAGGCACATTGTTATTAACTTAATTAGGGTACTCCTAAGCTGGCCTTTGCTAAAAACTCCTCAATCTGATTGAGGTACGTTCTCTGAGGTCGACCCCTTCAACTCTCCCATCCACACTTGTCTTGTACACTTGTTTAGTCTATCTCCTTTCGTTCATCCTCTCTGTATGTCCACCTCCCACTTCTTCTAACGCCACTTCTTCAAAATAGACTCGCCCAGGCCGAAAACCGACTTCTGCGCATGGGCCACGAAGTTTCAATCGCACTGTAGGAGCGCGCCCGCATGTGGTAGTTTGTGGAAGAGCCACACTCAAGGGGCCAAAGAGCCGCATGTGGCTCGTGAGCCGCGGTTTGCCGACCACTGGACTAGGTCAGTTTTCCCCCCATTCTTGCCTCTTTTTATATCCATCCCCTCCTTCAAGAAAGGATCTAAATTAATTTTTGGTAAAATGAGGATGACTAAAAGTCACTTAGGAGTCAGTACATTTTCAGAAATAATGTTTAACTTGCTGACTCTCTGTCTCCGTGAGGTGGGGAGAGTGGGAGTCTAGGTTGGGAGGCCCTTCTGCTCCAGGATATCTCCACAACACAGTCCACGGGGGGACACGTAGGTTTAAGTTTTGCTTTATGATGCAGAAGGAAGAGCCCAAAGGCAGAGAAGGATGGAGATCTGAATGTCTGCCTCTGAGGCTTCACCATGCTGTTGCTCTCCTTGCCTTTCCTTCTGCCTCAGAGCAGCCCTCCTCCTCCCCCAACAGCCCGCTAATACCTCATCAGCCCTGAGGGTGCAATATACACAGCACTTCCCTGGCCCTCGCCCCACCCTCACCTAAACTCAGACACACTCATGCCTCCTCCTGCAGTTATTTTAAAACATATATATGTATTTTTTTTATTTTTATTGATTTCAGAGAGGAAAGGAGAGGGTGATCTAGAAACATCAATGATGAGGGGTTGTGGTTCGATTCCCGGTCAGGGTGCATGCCCAGGTTGTGGGCCCGATCCCCGGTGTGGGGCGTGCAGGTGGCTGACAATCCATGATCCTCTCTCATCAATGATGTTTCTATATCTCTCTCCCTTTCCCTTCCTCTCTGAAATCAATAAAAATATACCAAAAATAGAAAAAGAATGAAGAGTTAAGGGATGGGATTGGACAGTTCAGCATTGGCTGTTGCATGGATTCACTCACTGAACCCCTGCTAGTGTCAAGTCTGGGCGCAGCACTTCATTGTAGTCCCCATGGGAGGATTCAATAGGAGGTGCTCAGTGGACACCACGTAGGGCCTAGGACATGGTGAGGACCAGGGTTGTCTGACATGCTCCATGCCACTGTCTTCACCTCTTTTGAAGTCATCATCCCCCTTTGGGAATCCATGTGGATCTTCCACCCCCACATGAACATTTTGCATCAAATGTCATGCAGACCTTCTAGAAGTCCATGGGCCCTTAAGATTCAGGAGTGCCGCCCTACAGAAAGGCCAACTGCTGTCCACTTCCCTACAGTGAAACACGAAGAAATTGTGCTCACGCCCACACCTCTCTCACTGTCCCAGCTGACAAATCAAACAGGACTCTTTTTCCAGCCTCCAGCCAGCATTCTGGGTGGCCGCACAAAATCGGCTTCTTCGCTGTCTGTCAAAAGTGAGGTATCTTAGAGGAGTCCAGCAGGTAGAAATTCTGCATGAGATGCTCCTTATTCAGACCTGTGAGGACAAGGGAGGAAGGGAGAACAGCAGTGGGGAGTGGGGCATACATTGATTTCTCTTTCTTATGATGCTGGAACATCAGGCCCATGCCAATATGTTAAATATTGATACCTTTCCCCACTCCTGCAATCCCAACAATCCAGAAAATTTCTTGTTCTTCCCACAAACCACCTGCAATATCTATATCCTTTTGTCATTTATATGTAATGTGCATTTTATATTTATGAAGTAAAAGATAAATATATATATATATAGTCCCAGAAATGTATACACACTTAACTAATAGCTCAATTGATGTTTATTTCTTTTCAGATTTAACCCATTGGAATGAATAAATATTCAAAGTTTGTATACAATTTTGGGAGGATACTCTGTATATGGTATACATGCCCTATGCCATTTTTCTTTCCTTTTTTCTCTGCTGTGTTCTTTCCTTTTTAAAAATTGTAACTATTTAGAATGACACCTTATTCTGTTTTAATCTATGGCACTGAATGTGAAATATTTCTAGTGTCAAGTTCTATATTTCCTCTAGGAAAAAGAGCTACAGTAATTGTGTGTTTTCTACTTGCTTGTGGTTCTGCTTCATTTTCTTCTCCCCTCCCCCCTACACACTCACAGACATACTCATTTCTGCTTTTAAATTCCTTCTAGCCACCACTTCATTCTTAGAAAAACAGCTTTTGGGCTCTTGATTGCCTGTGGTAGCAACTGGAACCCCTCCGTGAAAATGCAATCATAGCCTCATAGAATATTAGTATTGGAAAGGGACTTGCAAGTAATATTTTCAATCTCTCTGCTCCCCAGGACTCCTTTTTCTGGCCTTTTAGCTACAACCAAACTCCCTCCCACAGAGGTTTGATGCTTTAAGAATCTTGTCTATCAACTGCATTTTGCATCTCATGTTTCATTCCTTTGCTTCACTCTTCATAACCAAATAATCTCTTCCTGGACATGCTCAGTTAGATTACTGGCACTGGTCTTAGAGGATGCATCAGTTATGTCCCATAAATATCTATGTCAATCCACAGCCAGAGCTTCTGATTGGTTTCCTAACACAAAACACACAGCACAAAGCCTCACCTCCCCCCTCCTCCAACCCCCCCGCCCCCCTCCCCGCACTGTCACAAACCAAAACATTGTTTGACTTGGAACTTCAGTTTAGGATCACTCAGAGCAGGGCACATGGACTTCACTCTGGATATTCGTTTGGGGCTGTCACAGGATTGCAGTAGGTAGATGGTGTTTACAGGGGCCCTGAGTAAAATGCAAATTGTGTTTAGTACGCTCTAGTTAAAATAACTTGGAAGTGGGCAACACTTAAGATATTTCCAAACAATTTAAAAAATGTCTAAATATCAGTGCGGACAAGTCTGTAATCCAGATAAATCGGTTATGATTACCTTATTTCCTAAGAGTGCAGAGACAGATATTTTTGTACCTTACTTTGAAAGTATGAATGGAGTATTCCAATCCTTGTTTTTGGAAAGGAAGCAACAGACTGAAAGAAATTAGGGGTTCTGAGGCAACTAAATTCTTCTTTTATAGAAAGGAGCGTTTGGTTTGTCAGAGGAGAGCAGTGACAGCAGTCCTGGGCACAGAAAAGGCTACTACATATTTCAGCTTCTGGTAAGTCATAGCATATTGCCTTTCCTAAAGCACAAACTGAGTTACCTTGGACCGGGATTCCTCAACAATGCACTATTGCTTTGGGGGCTGGATAGTTATTTGCCATTGGATTGTCCTGTGGGTTGTAGCATCGTTAGCAGCATCCCTGGGCTGTCTCCTATAGATGCCCTACCTGCTATGTATGACAACCAATGATGCCTCCAGGCATTGCCAGGTGTCCCCTGGGGGGGGGGGGCACTGCTCCTGGTTTAGAATGCTTGCTTTAGATAATTTACAGAATAAGTCCATATTTGAATTGTATAAGCTTAGTACAATGGTAATACATGAGGGACTGGTAAAATCTGAGTGTGTCTGAATTCTTCAAAATTTTGTGTACTGAACCTAAGTAGAAATGTTTTGGATTCAGGGAAAAAAGTTTTCTTTGTGTTTTCTTTTTTCATATGAAATACCACTGTCATACTAGAAAATTTCAGTACTGTGCTGAGTTTAGAAGTCATAGCGTTGAAACCAACCACTTGAATTCTAATGCCATCCTACAGAAAATCCTAAGACTAAAATGGTGCCCACAATCAACAACAAAAGCAATTAGACATGTAGGGCATATTGACTAGGATGTTTGGGGCTCCAATTCCTGCCTATAAAGCTCAGTGTTTCCCTTAGCACAGCCGACAGAATATGGGCTCAAGAAAAGCTGTGACTTAACTCACATTTGCTTGCAGCACTTAACTATTCTAACAGGCATATGACCTATGATGGTAACTAGGTCAACAGAGATGAGAAGGATATAAAAATACCAGGCCAAATTGATTGGTCCTGGGGTATATGTAACATGGCATAGTTGTGCCCCAAAGATTTTTTTGTTGGAAATGTCCTAGCATTGGGTCACATTGATAATAAAGGAGGAAAATAAAACAAAAGGACAGAAAATACCTAGCCCATCTTAACTGTTTAGTCAAAGCACCATCATGGAAAGGACTCAGGGGTGGGTGGTAGTGACCAAGATGTGCACAGCAGGGTCTAAGGATACTTCAGGACCTTCCCACCTGGCTACACTGATAGAAACCCATCCTCGTGGCTCGTTTCCCTGTGTTCTAAGTTTGCATCTGAGGGGACAGGTGACATTCAATGTATAGGCAAATCACCCTGGCCAGCGTGGCTCAATTGGTTGAGCATTGCTTCGTGCACCAAAAGGTCGCCTGTTCAATTCCTGGTCAGGGCACATACTAGATTGCAAGTTAGATCCCCATTGGGGTGCATACAGAACGCAACTGATTGATGTTTCTCTCTTTTCCTTCCCTTCCTCTTTCTAAAATCAATAAAAATGTATATTTCTTAAATGTAGGCAAATCAGGAAAAAGCCAAACCAGTCTCCTGATTTAGTCCAATTTCAGCCTCACCCTACCTGTTGCATGTCATTCGGCCTTAGGATCCCCCTTGTTTTATCTTCTGTAGGAGTTACATGTGCATGGTCTCCCACCCCCCACTCCTTCCCCAGGCTCTTTCAGGCCCAAACTCTGTCAATTAGAATGGTGCCACCTGTGTATTCCAGCCAGGACGTGCTTTCTCTAACCTGGTCTCTGTCCTTCTACTTGCAGCCAATTCAAAGATTGAAAGGGGAACCAGAGAATGCTTTTGACAGGAAGGCAGCCGACTTGCTAGCTCTGTGGACTTCCAGTGTTTTTGGAGCACCAGATAGAATTAGAACCACTGTCAACACAGTGGCAAGCTTCCAGCTTCCACCAGCGCCTGTCATTCCTAGACAAAGCCCGCCCACTCTGACTCCTCCTGCGCTGGGGAGCACAGCTCTGAGAGGCCCTGTCCTCACACCCGCCACCCAGTCCAAGATATTGGAGAGCAATGGAGAGACCTCTGTATCTGGGAACCTGGGGAGCTACTTCGGCATGTCAGCCAGGTTGTCCCTGATACCCCAAGTTCTGACTACTCCAGGTCTCCCCACAACGGGAGCACTTCGCAGCACCAGCTTCCCCGCCTCGCCCACAACTAAGGAACCCCGAGGAGATATGTGAGCTGAAATGCTTAGTGCTCCTCCCCCCCACCCCCCTGCCCCCGCCTTGGGAAGAGACCAGACCCACACCTGCCAGACCCTGGCCAACCACCCCTGGCAATGTATCCTGTGAACATGACTATTTTCGTTATGGGATTCACCTCAGTCAGTCACCAACTCCTCTAGGAATGAAATTCACCCATAAAGAAGCTTCACTGACCCAGGAAAGTGATGTTGGCACGTGCCCCACAACCCTGAGGCAATTTCTCATTGTTACCTAAAAATAAAACAGCCAACTTTTAAATCACCTCTGCACTGTTATAAAAGTTTTTTCAAAAGCCCATTTCAGCCAAAATTGGGAGGCCAGAGGAATCTGCTAACTGTTGCCCTGTCCTGCCTTTTTATTTTTGCATTTTCTTCCTGCCCTAGGGATTGTTTCTCCCAAATCTGGAGAGATTCTGCGGGTGGTCATTTACACTGTTAATCCCTACAGTTCTTCAGACTATTGCCTTAATCCTGGTGTCATTCGTTGACGTCCAGCACTTGAGCTGTGGACTCCAGAGTGACAGAGGTAGCCCAAATGAAACAAACAGAACAATTCAAAACTGCAGAAGGAAAAGGCTCAGAGAAAAAAATAAATTGTGCAACCAGTTCCTAGATGATCAGGCAGAGATGATCCTGGAAGAGTGAGATTAGAAACTAAAAATATAGCCAACCAGGCAGACAACTGTCTTTGAAAAGCTTCAGCAACTATTCAGTTAGCTATGGAGCCACTGCCAGAGACTCACTCAGAGATTTCAGTGGGGTCTTGTGTGCAGCAAGTAAAACGAAGAAATCAGAGCTGACTCATAAGGAAGAAGTTATCTGACAACAAAAAGGGATGTTACTCTACCCTTAAAATGAAACTGGTTGTACAAATATTTTTTTTAATTGAGGTGTGTCTAATATTTTAATTCTTTAAAAAAATCTTTATTGTTGAAGGTATTACATATGTCCTCTTTTTCCCCCCATTGACCCCCTCCAGCCCTCCCTCCCCTCCCCCCCTTCCCCCCCTACAGGCCTTCACCACCCTATTGTCTGAGTCCATGGGTTATGCATATATGCATACCAAGTCTTTGGTTGATTACCTCCCACCCGCTCACTCTCCTCCACATCTTAACACTGGGAGAAAGAAGAATGATGTTCAACACAGCGAAAATGAGCACTTGGTTATGAAAGCTTCACATAGGATCTGGCAGCATCGCGTGGGCCTAGCGCAGTGGTGTGCCAGCAAATGGTTACCAATGGGCTCCCCGGGAAAAACAATCCTGATTTGTTGTTTTCACCGTGACATCACTACCCACAGAGTTGGGAAGGATGCACGGCAGCTCACCATTATAGAGTGTTCCCTCCATACAGATAGGTGTGAGGGGCATGGATGTGCTTAGGAGTAAAGATAGTAAGATAAAGTAAAATAACTGGAAAGCAATGCACTGAGAGTACTTATTATCTCTGTGTTTCATGTAATTTATTAACTCTAAGTTTATATAATTTTGTTTTTTATAATGGCCATGTTTACAAACGGGCCCGCAAAATCCCTGAAATATTAACTCTCAGCTCTAGCACACCACGAGGCATGAAGATGAAATCAGAAGATGAAAAAAAGACACAGGAATCTTGCAGTGTCAGACAAGTATATTACTGTATTTCTAGACACAGCACAGAAACATTAAGAAAAGTTGAAAAATGAAAGGAGAAGTAGAAATTCTGGTGATTACAGTTGTAAAGTACCCTAGGGACTTTCCCACACTGCACTGCATGTGGAAAAGCATGTGCATTTACACAGAATCCAGAAGAAAGAAGGAAAAGGAAATCCTCAAACAGATGGTTCTGTCATCACCAAAGCGTGTTAGAATGGGATGGAGGATTAGGAGAAAAGGAAGGAAACCTTCAGCTGGGCAAACAGAGTAACCTGAGAGATTTCATGTGGCCCCTCTCTAATTTGAAATAATTCTTTGTCCTTCAGAATCTTAAACATCACCAGAGTTCTTGCAGTAAGAAAGGAAACTTAGAAATGCAAGTTAACGCATTCGCTTTATGGACTTGCTGACTTTCAAGGGTGATTTGAGAGGAGAAAAGGTTTTCAAAATCAACGTTAAGGAGCTGAGGAAACAATTACTTTTACTTTTTTCTTACACTGCAATCTTCTACTCTGAAAAAGGACTTAGCATTTAAAGGGGGTCAGAACCCAAAATATGCCACTGTGGTATGAGGATTATTTTGAGCTGAAAGCAATTGAGAATCAACAGCTACAGAGAGAGTTCTCCGCCTTCCCCTTACCTGCCTGAAGGCAGGGCATACATGTCCTTTTATGCGGGGAAGAGAAGAGCAGATACCTAGAGGTGACACTGAGGCGAGTTTGCATAAACAGACTTTACTAAAATCATACTCATCTTTCATTAGTTCTCCCACAAATTTCCATCACTTCACACTTTATTGTCTTTTGAACCCCAAGTCCCCTTTCCTTTGTTAAGATGGTATGTAAGCCCCAAATTCTAGTCTAGTCGCTTTATTTTTATTTGTTTTTAAATATTTTTATTGATTTTTAGTGAGAGAAGAAGGGAGAGGGAGAGAGAGAGAGAGAAACATTGATGAGAGAGAGACATTGAATGGCTGCCTCCTGCATGCCCCCTACTGGGGATCGAGCCCACAATCCAGGCACGTGTCCTGACCAAAATCGAATCGGGAACCTCTTGGTTCATGGGTCGATGTTCAACCACTGAGCCGCACCAGCTGGGCTAGTCTAGTCACTTTAAGGTTCACTTTTCTGTGAACTCGTGTGCACATAAAAATTTTAATAAATTTGTATTCCTTTCTTCCTGTTAATCTGTCTTTTGTCCAGTTAAATTCATAGACCCGATTCACTGAACCTAAAGAGGGAGAAGTAGAGTTTTACTTCACACATTAAGGGTAGGTAGGTACCTTAGTGGATTTTTAAAGGTTACGTAAGGCTTTACTGTCCTGAGTTGATGGCACATGCACAGCCATCACTAATATCCATTCTTTTTCCATAGCCGACAGCACTAGCTGAGCAGGATACCTTTTCCCACTGAGCAAAATGTGGTCTCGTGATCTCAACCCAGTGTACCAAGTTGTCACACAAGGTGAAACCTACCAGCCAATTCTGGCGGAGGCAAGTCGTCAAGAAGACCTTGAATAAGTGAAGTTCTACAAAGCAAACAAACAAACAAACAAACAAACAAAAACTGAACAAAAATTTCAAGTGGTTATAAGAAATCATCTACTCTACTACTGCAGAAAGTAATCAGCTGCTTAAAGTCAAACTTATGGCTGCAGGGACTTCAAAACCAAAAGCTACTGCTGCACTAATTGCAAAAAAACCCCCACAAACTTATCTAATACAGAGGGTTTGGAAAAGATCCTAATGGCTATTTTATCTCCATTAAGGGCATTTGGATGAGCAGGTGATTAACAGTAGGCTGAGCTTCTGCCCAACAGGAAACATTTATATTTCAGCCCTCTCCTCGCTGCCCCCGTCCCCGCCCACCAGCTCCTGCCTGTGCGGGCAGCCTGTTGACTGGTCGTGACTGGGACACCATTAGGACCAATTAGCATATTACCTCTTTATTATAGAAATAAATAGTATTAAAATTTCCAAAGACAGTGTCACTGGCAATGGGTCCATTTCCATTTAAGGAGGTCTGACAAATCACCTCTAAGAATGCTTTCAAATCCATTTGAACATAAGTAACCTCCTTTTTTTTGTTGCTTTTTTTTGTTAGTCCTCACCTTAAGATATTTTTTTTCCCATTGATTTTTTTTTTTTTAAGAGAGTGGAAGGGAGGGAAAGAGACAGAGAGAAACATCCACATGAGAGAGACACATCCATTGGTTGGCTCCTGCATGTCCCGACCAGGCCGGGAATGGAGCCTGCAATGGAGGTACTTGCCCTTGACCAGGATCCAACCCGGACTTTTCAGTCCGCTGGCTGATGCTCTAATCGTGAGCAAAACCAGCTAGGGCGTAACCTCCTTTTTAAAAAAGTAAACAAACAAAAAAGAAATATATATATATATATATATATATATATATATATATATATATATTTATAGGACAGTAGGCATTATTGCACTAACATAAAGCAAATGAAAGAAAGAATGAAGAAAAAGCATGGAGAGCTCAATTCAGCAGAGCAGTCATAAAAGAAGACAAAGTAAATATCTTTGCCCAAATAAACGTAAACACAGTGAAGCAGCCAACCCAAGACCCTTGGTTTTGCAGTGAAGACAAGCTGCAGTTGTCTAAGCTACTTTAAGGGCTCATCATTGTAAATAAATCCATCGAGTTAAATATAAGTCAGACGGGCTTATGAAATGTTTCAAAGGTCCTGCCACGTCATTTGAAAATTATCTCTTCTGAAAAAAACAGTTCTCTCCAAGTGGCTTATCTGTAGGACACACACACACACACACACACACACACACACACACACACACACACCCCGGAGAGAAAACTTAGAAGTTTTAAAAGAAGGAAACTCTGGGAACAAACGGACCTAATAAATACTTTTTAAAAATTCGGGCAGGACACACAGGCGCGGGCCCTGCAGGCCACTTTCTAACTGGATGAAGGTGCAGCCGGTCTCCTGGGCGGTCCGGTCCCCGGTCCCGGGTACGACGAGCGGACAGAGGGCTCTGCGGGGCTGCGAGAGGCGGGCGCCCTGGTTTGGGGCTGGGTCCCCGCCTCCCCGCCGGGGCCTGGCTGAACCCTAACCGCGGGTGGGCGGCGAGGAGAGGGCTAGTGCCAGGCTCTTGCAGGGTCGGGCTTGGACCTTCGGGTCCTCTGGACGCAAAGCCAGCACACACAGGGCCGAGGCTCCCAGTGGGCGGCGTGGACACGGGAGGCCCGTGGGCGCCGTGCCCTCCAGCCGCCCCGCAGTGGCAGGTCCGGCTGGTGGCTGCGGAGCTCAGGTTCTCGGCCAGGCCCGGCTGCGCCTCCGGATCCAAGGCGGCCTCGGCGCACCGGGAGCCCAGGCTGCCCGCAGCCCCTGGGGCTGGTCCTGCGAAAGCGACGCGGGTTGTGGCGGTGTTGCCTGAAGATACGAGAACAGGCCCCAATCCCTATGGTTTTTCCATGGGAATTGCTGATACGTGCAGCTATTGTTGGGCATTTTGCTGTTTTCTTCTTCCTCTTCGTGTGTGTGTGTGTGTGTGTGTGTGTGTGTGTGTGTGTAAGTTTTCTATCGATTAGAAGGCGACTTTATGAGGAAGGAGAAAGACCTTGC